CTCAGCCCCCTGGGGGGTCAGCCCAACCATTTGTACAATTTTGAATCTCCACCACCTAGGGATGCTTCCAGTCAAATATGGTTGATATCCATCTCTTAGTTCCAGAGAAGAAGTTGCTTAAAGCATTATAGCCAAATTGCCCCCTTTTTGCCCCGCCCCTCAGCCCCTGGGGGGTCAGCCCCACCATCTGTACAATTTTGAATCCCCACCACCTAGGGATGCTTCCAGTCAAATTTAGTTAAATACCAATCAGTGGTTAAGAAGAAGAAGTCGTTTAAAGAAATTGTTGACGGACGGACGCGGACGACGGACGCCACGGTATGGCATAAGCTCACCTTGGTCCTTTGGACCCGGTGAGCTAATAAATGATCTTTCTTTTTATGCACTAAAATTGAATGTAGTACCTCTGTCAGTTTTGAGAAGAAGATTTTTGAAATATTGATTAATTTTCCCTTTGGGGCCCGCCCTGGCCCCAGGGGTTGGGGTAGGAATCCCAATTTTACAGTTTTGTAGCCTCATCTACCAAGCATAGATCAGGTGACCTAAAAATTGGAGGTGTTGTACTGGCTTGAAGATGTGTTATTTTTAAGTAGTTATTATTTGCATGTACAATTGAAAAAATATTTTGTAAGAGTTTTTATATCAAATCACCATACAAAGAAAATAGTTTCTTTGATTACCTTAATGACTTGATATTTTATTGAAGAAAGAGACCTAAAATACATTGTTTCAAAACTGTTGTAAAATATGAGAGAAAATTATATTGTGATGTGTTTCCTAACCAGAAAAGAAGAGTAGCCTCCCTTGGCCTAATTATAATCTGACGTCATTTTTCCAGCCGCCATATTCCCTACACTGGTCCGTTAATCGAGGTAAAAAATACCACGTGTTTTGTCATTTTTCCATCGAGAACAAACATTGTATGATTATTAGGTTATATCACACATTATCAAGACGTGTTTTAATGCACGAGATGATGGTTTTGTATCCTGTCATTTTCCCCTTTGTGTTAAATCTTTGGACGCCGGTTCGTCGACAGAAATTTCCTGATAATACATTTAGGCCTATTGCAGTAATTTTGATAATTATGGGGAATTTAATGAACGTTTAGATCAAATAGTTATCTTCATATTTGTCTCGTTTATATATAAAAATAACAATACTGATATCTTTTCAAACCGGAGAGGAATGAATGTGGGGTGGGGGAAATCTTTCAAGAATATTTGCAACACAGAAAAAAACCTGGTTCGGAACACTTTAATGGGGGTCTGAACAGTAACAAACTTGGTATCTGTTCCGACTCGTAGAGATATATGCTCATTTCTTCCGACATCGTTTGTTAGCGTACACTTTATCTGGGCTTGCATCACGTAGTTATTTATGTAACAGGTGAGGGGGAAAATGTACGGCCATACTGTAGTTCGAACTTGATCTTACCTGATCGCTGGTGAACGACCCAGTCAAGTTCTGCTATGGTTATTGGTATAACTGTTACATGTTAGATTGTGTAGTAATTGACAAAGTAAAAACACAGCAAATACATAAAAAAAACAAGCCTTTGAAAAATATTGCTATATTTCATTTGTGGATTATACCAGTTTTTTCAATATCTTTTGACAGCACAAATCAGAATTTCTTGAATTAGATAGAGGGACCAGGGCCCGTATTCATGAAGCTGTTCCCATGCTCAAGCATGGATTTGTGCCCAAGCCTAATTTTTTGTTCTGGTTATAAATTAATAAAAAAAATCTTATTTTGTCAATCATTTGGAAAAAAAATGACCTGAATAATATTTCGATGTTTACATTTCACTTTTTGATCATTTAACAAAAATTAACCAAATTACAGTAAAGTTGGTGTGAACACAGAATCCATGCTTGAGAACGGTTCATGAAACTATTCTCGTGCTCAAACATGGATTTTGTGCTCAAACCAACTTTCTTGTAGTTACTCGCTTAAATCATATCAAAATGATCAGAACATCAATCTAAGCATTAAAACCAGTATTTGGCTTTACGTCTTTTTATTTTGTTCTAAATCATTGACAAAATAATATTTCATTGATAATTTATAAACGAAACAAAAAAGTAGGCTTGAGCACAAAACCTATGCTCGAGCAGGAGAACGGTTTCATGATTATGGGCCCAGATCTAGGGAGGCCTGTGCTATGTGGGTTCTAATAAAAGGAACAATCCCATCGTCATGGGTGCAATCAATTTTGGAATTCACTTACAAGTTATGCTTGGCATCTATGAAATCCAGGAGCTCCGTTCTACATATCTTCTCTGTATACTTAGATTTTCTGATCGTGACAAAATTGATGGTTTGTTAGCAGTTTGACTGGTTCTAGACATGTGATCAAGAACTGAGCAATCGTAAGACTGATGGATGATTATGAATTTTATAATTTCGTTGTCATCTGACTCGCACTTAAATTATCATCATAAATCATGTCCAATACTTTGAGCTCAAATGTACCTAGAATTCAATTTCTCAAGTTAAATTGTTTCACCCAGAAGGTGGATCATACAGCGACTTCTTATTCTGTTGTGAGAAAACTTAGGGTGCAGGGAAGATATGTATATTGAAAACACAATCTTTGGATCTTGAAAATGATAGTTTGGGCAAGGGTCAGTAAATTTGGAAATTTAAATTTTGTTGTAGAAATATGATTGTTTGCTAAATTGTAATTCATTTGTTGTCTCTTTTCATTTTTCTCAGCCTGAGGGAAAGGATTGGTTTTAATTTTTTTTACATATTTTTTTTCCTCCTCGCTGCTCACTATGCTGAACTTGACGTCCAGTCACGGCCACAATGTCAGACAACCAGACCAATCTGATCATCAATTACCTGCCCCAAACCCTGACTGATGGAGAATTCCACTCTATGTTTGCCTCCATTGGCAATATTAAATCATGCAAGATTGTGCGTGATAAGGCATCCAACTACAGCTATGGTTTTGGCTTCGTCGATTACCAGACGCCAGAAGAGGCTCAGCATGCCATCCAGTCCCTGAATGGCCTTCAACTCCAAAATAAATATATCAAGGTTGCATTGGCTCGGCCCGGAGGTGACAGCATCAAGGGAGCTAATTTGTATGTCAGGAACATTCCAAGGGACTTCTCTGCTGGAGATCTGGAGAGTGTGTTTAAATGTTATGGTGAAATTGTCCAATGTCGTGTTCTAAC